AAAAAAAAAAAAAAATGACAAAGGATGAACTGAAGCTCTGCCATCACGTAATGTCGCATACTGCTGTTTCTGATGTCATTTAAAAAAGAAAAAAAAACAAAACAAAACCAAATGAGAATAACATAAGGAGCTGTTCTAGTTAGTTACTTACTGGTGAAAGGCTGAGGACAGATGGTGGAGTGCATGGATTACACTCTGACAGTAATGCATCTCCATTTCTGCACTTAACCACATCTCCATCAGGGTCGAACGCCAACAAGACGAAATTTCTCTGACAGTTTGAGGGAACTCTGAGAGAGAAATAGGAAAGGATTATCAGAATTGGGTTTTTTTTATGTTGTTCAGGTTTCCTATCCTAACCTTCTTTCAGCCAGGTGGATTTCTTGAGGGCTTTCTAGACCTGCCATTCTCCATCTATCCTAAGATGCCTCCAGGCTTTTCCACAGAATTTATACCATCTCCATTGGCTCTTTCACAGATTAATTCTGCTTATGTGTCATTTAGGTTTTGAACCTGCTGGTTTTAACACACTTGCTGTTCACTTCTATAAATTGCATTTTAGCAAAATGCAATTATTATGATGCCATTAGTCAATGGAAGTCAGACTACAGCTACACTAACACAGGACCTAGAAAACTTGATATACTACAAATCTGGTACAGATTTTACACATTTACATTTACTGAATGTAAATTTGATCAGCACCAGCACTCACCTGTTTAAGGGTTAACTGCCTGCATTTAGTCTGCATTAAAAAGAGTTGTTGACAGTCTTTGTTCACACTAATAAAGCAGAGATTCAATCTCTCTTCACTAGACAAAGGTATGTCTAGGTATATTTTAGTTTTCAGTTGAGTGAAAGTATTTAGCTTGGCATTTTTTACTGTACGTTACTCAATTCACAAGTTCCTAAAGGAGTTCAGAGGAAAGTCACCAACAATAATTCTGTGAATTTAAAGCACACTTTAACAGAATTCAATTCTAAACTGATAAAGTTTATTTACAAGTGATTCTTTTGAATTATTTTGTAATTTCTTTGCAGTAATTAAAAATACATACCGTACCTATATAAATAAAACAACAGTGCGCAGGCTTACCTTACAGCAGGTATGATGGTGGTCTGGGGTGACGAGTTGGCTTTGCCGGTGTCAGATCTGTTCCTCAGTTCCACTAGAGTCACAGCTCTCCATGATACAATGCCATTTACAATGCCATTAATCCAGTTACCACTATCCAACCTTCGTTGAAAATTTATGGGAAAGTTAGTCAGAGTGAACTGAATGTGTAGATATTAAGACCTACCCCAAACCCCAATAATTAGTTTTTTATAAATCTCCCAGATTAAAAACGCATTTGAAGGAATTCTCAAAAAGCTCAGTTCAGTTTAATTATTATGTGAATGAGTTGCTTTGGATTTTGTCACCTTCTGCTGATAACTTAGAAAACAAGTGCAACAAATTTAATTTTGTTAAATGGCGATCTATACTCACCAAAGCTCGAACGGAGCATTGCTGGGAGCCCGTCGAGTCATGATTCCCTCTCTCTGACACCACTCTCCACTGCTTTCCTGTTTTACCTCATGTAGTGTGTTGTTCCCAGAGCAAACAGTCACCACGGAGGCAACTCCATGTGTCACCATTTGTGCAGTCGTGGAAGTTCAGCTTGTATTGAATATTCGCCTGCAAATTTACAGTGGAAAGAGTACTTGAGCACTGTCAAATTTCAAAAGCTAAGTAAATAGTTTTATGAAGAAAATTTACATACCATAACTGATCCATCTGCATAAGTGTCTCCTGGGTAATAGGTCATCACTGTCCCATAAAAATGAGTAGCTTGCGTGCTGCAAACCAGCAGCAGCAGTAGCAAAGAGAGAGACATGGTAAATGTGTTCATCTCTCTGCGCAAACACCTCCAAACACAGCCTCACTTTGACTCACACACATTTTATCTGCTTTCTATTCACTGAATGATTTGGTATGAGGAAGTGTCTCATGGCACTGTGGTAATTCATGACAGGTGGTGATGTGCAGGGAATGTTAATCTCTTAACCACCTGTCATTGCAACAATGACATTCCTTTGCAAACCAAAGATAAAAATGTTTTTAACTGAGACACGAATAAAAATCTTGATTTTTGTCTTTCACTTTTCATTTTTCATAATCACCTTCTCACGAACAGCCCGTGAAGCGTTAGGTGAAACCTACACTATATTGCTGAAAGCATCGAATCACCCACACATCCGCAAATGCAAGAAAAATAGATAGATAGATAGATAGATAGATAGATAGATAGATAGATAGATAGATAGATAGATAGATAGATAGATAGATAGATATTAAATGCCATTTTCCACTGATTATTTTCATTTCATTTGATTCATGTGGTATATTTTCATGCCTTTTGTTATTAATTTGAATGACTATCTAATGTCTCAGTGCTTTGTGGACATTCTCCTGTAGATTTCTTCTGTACTGGCTTCTCTTCATTGACTTCCTGTTGGCAAATAGTGACTGGTTGGGGTGAGGAGATGAAGGAGGCTTCTTGATGCATGCTACGTTCTGTAGTTCCAGGCGGCACCGTTGCGGTTGCCATGGTTACAGGGTGACGCTCTCGCTCTGCGTGTTTCCTCGGTGAGAGATTAAAACTCGACTGTACACCGTGTTCGTGTTTTCCTCCGAAACAATAAGTTCCGTTGGAGCAGTCTTTCAACGCCTCTCTCTGTCTCTCGCAAGCAAAGTTGACCCAGACAACAAAGTAAAGCTAGTTTTCGGCTACGAGCCCAACACGGAACCCATATTAGTCAGAGGTCCCTTTACTATGGTTCGGAGCCGCGGACCTTCAGTAACAGTAATAAATCACAGCAATAGTACATTCACGTAGTTGTAAAATGCATGATAATTTGTTAAGTAATCCAAAGTATTCAGAATACGTTACTCTCATTGAGTAACGTAATGGAATACGTTAAAGAATACATCTTAGGGGATGTATTCTGTAATCTGTAATGGAATACATTTTAAAAGTAACCTTCCCAACACTGTACATACATATATACATATATATATATTAGGGGTGCAACGATACACAAAATTCACGG